TGACAGCAGGTAATATCTACAGACTGTTAGGGAGTACAGTTGTAGGTGGAGTTCATTCTGTGGAGTCAGATAATGACAGTACAAAGCTATGGCATATGCGTCTAGGTCATCTCAGTGAGCGTGGGATGGCAGAATTGCATAGAAGAAATCTGCTGCATGGGGTTAAAAGTTGCAAGCTCGATCTTTGTAAGTTCTGTATTCTTGGAAAACAGACTAGAGTCAGTTTTATGACTGGAAAGCACAAAACTGAAGGAATTCTTGATTATGTGCATTCTGATGTATGGGGCCCTACTAGGGAGTTGTCATTGGGAGGATCTCAGTATTTCATTACCTTTATTGATGATTTCTCCAGGAAAGTTTGGGTGTATTTCTTGAAGCAGAAATCTGAAGTCTTCTCTAAATTCAAGCTGTGGAAAGCTGAGGTGGAGAACCAAACTGGCAGAAAGATCAAATATTTGAGGTCCGATAATGACACAGAGTACACGGATTCGCAGTTTCAGAAATTCCGTGAGCATGGGATTCAGAGGCATTTTTCAGTGTGGAAGACACCACAGCAGAATGGTCTGGCAGAAAGGATGAACAGGTCCTTAACTGAAAGGGCAAGGTGCTTGAGACTGAATGCAGAGCTTCCTAAGAGTTTTTGGGCAGAGGCTGTGAACATGACATGCTATCTCATCAATAGATCACCTCGAGCATCATTGGGCGGCAAGGTCGCAGAAGAGGTATGGACAGATAATCCAGTTAAATTTGATCATTTACGGATTTTTGGATGTCCTGCTTATGTGCATGTACCTGGAGATGAAAGATCCAAACTTGATGCAAAATCCAAGAAGTGCATCTTTCTGGGCTACAAGAAATGTGTGAAAGAATATAAGTTTTGGGATCCGATTGCAAAGAAGATGGTGATCAGCAGAGATGCAGTTTTTGATGAGCAGCTTATGTTACAGCAGAATCAAGACAAGGTGTCAGGGAACAGTTCCAATTCAGATGCAGTGCAGATGGATTTAGAACAACAGCCAGTAGCTTCTGAGAGAGGTGAAAGTTCAAATCCAACTCCTGGTGATTCTATTCCAGATGATCTGCAGAATTACAATCTAGCCAGAGATAGACAGAGACGCACCAATGTAAGACCTCCTAGCAGATTGGGTTATGAAGACTTGGTCTCTTGTGCACTTCTCATCAGTAGCGATGATCCAGCCACTTTTCAAGGAGCTATCACTAGCCAAGAGAAAGAAAAATGGATGGGTGCAATGGTTGAGGAGATGGAGTCTTTGCAGAAAAATCATACTTGGGAGCTAGTTCAACTCCTAGAGGGAAAGAAGGCTATTGGGTGCAAATGGGTCTACAAAAGGAAACCAGCAGTATCAGAAAAAGAAGGGGAAAAGTTCAAGGCTCCACTGGTTGCAAAGGGATTTTCGCAGCAGAAGGGGATAGATTATGATGAAATCTTTTCTTCTGTGGTCAGACATACTTCAATAAGGCAGTGCTTGCATTAGTAGCTATCTGGGATTTGCATTTAGAGCAGATGGATGTTAAAACTGCTTTCTTGCATGGTGATTTGGAGGAGCAGATTTACATGAAGCAGCCAGAAGGGTTCACTCAACCTGGACAGGAGCATCTGGTTTGCAGGTTAAAGAAATCGTTGTATGGGTTAAAACAGTCTCCAAGACAATGGTACAAGCGATTTGACTCCTACATGATGCAGATTGGCTACAGGCGATGTGAGTATGATTGTTGTGTTTATGTGAAAAGCCTTGATGATGGTTCTAT